CTCTCTCTCTCTCTCTCTCTCTCTCTCTCTCTCTCTCTCTCTCTCTCTCTCTCTCTCTCTCTCTCTCTCTCTCTCTTGCGCACGCGCGCTCACATGTGTGTATGTTTGTGTGCGTGTGTGTTGTCATATTCGCTATGCACAACGCCACAAAACAAGCATGACTGTGCCAGAGTCTTTCGTCGGACTTTAACTGACTCGTCAGGAGTTTGAATCCGACAGTCTGCACAGCATGCATTTGGTTGATGGATAAGGACTCGCCGCATCGCTCAGAGTTAGCGATAGGCCCAAGTAAAGTGGTGGACTTCACCCACACCAACCCTGCACTGCTTGGAGCGAGAGTGAGTGTGAGTGTTTGTGCGTGTGTTGTATATTGCAATAACTCAGCTCAAATCATGCATCAGTTGTGGAGTGTGGGTCATCATTTTGGTAGAAGGGCCGAAATAGCTGTCAAAGGCCACGGCCAAGTTATGTAAACTGCCTGAACGAAGGCCTGCTAGTGTGGGGTACCCGAAGCAAGGGGCCTAAAACGGGCCTTCAGAGACCCAACATGCAACAGTTCACCGTGGAAAGTCAAAAGTCAACAGCAGCTCGGAAATTCAAGCCCATGACTCAAAGTCAACATGGACCCAGTCCAGGCCGCCGATCAGACACACACCTTTGGCTGTTTGCAGGTATTTGTGAGGAATCAAGTCCAAGTGGGAATCTGCAACTGTACGGGATCCAGACCGTTGACTGCTAGACAATCTGGGCCATCGTATCTGATAGACCAGAGGCTGGTCAACCGGAGTCAACACTATAAGTTGAACCAGCCCCTGCGGACCGACATTCAGTCTTGCACATGGTGCTTGATGCTGGCTGGACGCTAGCTTGACGTTTACACTATGCTGGCTGGATGCTAGCTCGACGGTGGCACTACACTGGTTGGATGCTGATGCGACGATGCAAGACTGCTATTGCTGTATACTGGCGTCATGCTCCGTCTTTGGTGCCAGCTGGATGCCTGACTAAGCTGGCGTGGCTCTCGCCACACTGATTATGACATTGATAGGGTATTGGTGAGGAGGATATGGATCAGGGCTGTGAGATTGATCAATGTGGAGGAAGCTTGCCTGTTCGCGTTCGTGGTCGACATTGCGCACTGTTGTCCGTCTTCATAAGGTGTCTGTGCTGACAAGCTTCATGACGAGATCAGCTCATTGTGAGAGTGTGTCAGAGGGGACTGTCTGCTGATGTGGGGAGAGGGAGATGCCCGAAGAGGGAGTGGGATTGTGAGGGAGATCTATCTGCTATGGTCATGGGTACTTTCTCTTCCACCTTCTAAGTCTTATCCCCCTCCCACCATCCTCTTCTCTGGTGACCAGACATTGGGCTACCTGACTACATGTACGATTTTGGAGCCATTGAAACGGCGCTGAGACATTTTGTGTTTCGACATTCACGAGCTTCTCTTCTGATTGGGTTCATTGCAATTTGGTATCAGAGCGATATCCTCCATTCCATTGTTATCTGTTGGTGCGCGTGGTATCGCGCGGCGGTATTATAATCGCGCGCTCGGCGCGCCTTGATATTTATGCCCCTTTCGCGCGCGCTCACGTCTGATGGTGATGATGATAACGATGATGACGTGGACTCGACAATAGTGGGCGAGTGTTTGCTGACGTGGCGCTTGGCAACCAGAGAGAGAGAGAGAGAGAGAGAGAGAGAGAGAGAGAGAGAGAGAGAGAGAGAGAGAGAGAGAGAGAGTTGTTGATGTGGCTTCGTGGGATCGATGTGCGCTTGCTAACATGGCATGGCATGTTGGTGCGGAAGTGGCATCTTACAAGGAAGCACCGGGTCACATTGTCTGGCATGGCACTGACCGAAGTGTCGCAACTTACCT